ACTTAATCCATTTTGGGTTAAAAAAAAAAAAAATTATTAATGCTCTCACAATATAAAAAAAAAAAAAAAAAAATTATCAAACTCATTTTCAATCATAAACCAGTAAAATATTTTACACGTAAATCTAAAAATTTGTCATATTTTATTAACCATATATTCTTAAAAAATTAATTATTTCAAAACTCATTTTTATTGAACAATAGTAGACAAACAACGTCTCAAATTGGAAGTAAGCAAGCATGCTACTTGTGCAATTTTTTAAAAATCTCGATTGACAACTCTTGACAACCAATGACATGTTCATCCATTTCAAAAATTATTTTTTAAATCAATTATCAACTGCGATGGGGCAAATTGATTAAGGGTCCGTTTGATTGCAATGGTGAAAAATGGGTGGAAAGAAAATGAATTTCATGAAAAATAATTGTCTAAAAATTATTTTGTAGAGAATTGTTAATTAAGTGTGTTTGATTAATATAATTTTTCATCCGTAAAATTTTAAAATTTTGTGTTCGTTTATCTTTGTTTTATATGGAAATTGTTCATAAAAGTGATAATTTTTTCCACAATTGGTTATAAAATTTGTATCCATTGCCAAAAAGTAAAAAAAAAAAAACATGATTTTTTCATCAAAATTTAGTATTCGTTTGACTTTGTTTTATATGAAAATTATCTATTAAAGTGAAATTATTTTTACAATTAGTTATGAAATTTGTTTTCATTGCACAAAAAAAATATTGAAACGTGAACTGGAGGTGGGAAATGATTTTCCCCAAAACCAAGGTAAATAGGCGAGTGAGCCACCTAGCAAGAAAACAAAAGCCATGGAAAATTTGGCTTTTCAAACAAACCAAATGCAAGGAAAATGAATTCTGTTTCCAAGTTCCAAGTAAAAAATGGCTTTTCAAACACAGCCTAATTCATAGGTTAAAAGCGGCTTATCAACAATTTTCCAGTTTATTGAAGGCCACACAGATTCATCCCTGGTTCGTTCACACAAGTACCCGTCCCTTCCTCCCTCCACGAATAATTTCATTATCCACAAACACACTATCGGTGTGTGTGTAATTCTGTGGGTAAAGAATGGCGGAATCAGTAATGAAAATGTCATCGGCCGCCGCCGCCAACGCTTCTTCACTCTGCAATTTCAACGGTTCATCGAGGAGGCCGCTGCCTCCTTGCTGTCTCACTGGACGACGTCGGAAGAGTTGTACTGTTCGAAGAATTCGAGCTCTAACTTCTTCTTCAATTTCTGATTTCTTTGGAAGCATGAGACTTACCTCAACCCCAAAGCTGTTGAATTTACAACACAAGCAGAGCAAAAGAAGTTTATCTGTTTTCGCCATGGCCGCTGAGGGTATATTACTCTTTCATTTCTCTTAGTTTACATAAATGTGCCTTATATTTTTATATTTGTGCTTTTTGTATCTCTATTGTTCATTTGGATGAATTTTGTTTAATGGGCTACACTTAATTATGTTCATACAATAATGGAATTTGAATTGTTCGATTCTGTTTTATTTTCTTGTGTGCCTAAGTTTACATTTGTTTTTAAAGCTGTCTGTGTTATGATTCTCGTTGTACAATATTTTTTATTGTGCTTTCTGATTTAAAAGGTGATTTTTCGGGCTGCCAGTTTTAGGTATTTATCTGAGATTTCAGTGACCAGCAATGGTTTCTTTATTCTCTGTGCTTCCACGATCATTTTTATTCAACATTTCTTCATTTTTTTGTAGTTGTGGAAGTGTTCCCTTTTCTCAAAATGGATATGACAAATGAATTCTTATTTTTAGTAATTTGTATAACAAAATTGTAGATTTTATTTGATGTTCTAGTTAATTTCGCTAGTCCTCAATGAAATGAAACAAGAGTTGCAATTGAATGATTCTCAGATAGGTTCTGCTATTTTGGAAATTATTGTACTGCTACAGGACACACCAACGACGAATGTTGTTTTTTTTAGTTCATTCATATAGAGGAGGAAGTTATATCTGTATTGTGTGCCTCTCATTTATGATTTTTGTTTTAATTGTTTGCAGAGAAGAGAGCAATTCCGTTGAAAGACTATCGTAATATTGGAATCATGGCTCATATAGATGCTGGGAAGACGACTACCACTGAGCGAATCCTATACTATACTGGTAGAAACTATAAAATCGGGGAAGTGCATGAAGGAACAGCAACAATGGACTGGATGGAGCAAGAACAAGAGAGAGGTATTACTATTACTTCTGCTGCAACTACGACGTTTTGGAATAACCATCGTATAAACATAATCGATACTCCTGGCCNNATAAACATAATCGATACTCCTGGCCATGTTGACTTCACTCTTGAAGTAGAGCGTGCCCTAAGGGTTTTAGATGGTGCAATATGCTTGTTTGATAGTGTAGCAGGTGTGGAGCCTCAATCTGAAACTGTTTGGAGGCAGGCTGATAGATATGGTGTTCCAAGAATATGTTTCGTCAACAAAATGGATCGTCTTGGAGCAAATTTCTTTCGAACAAGGGACATGATTGTAACGAACTTGGGTGCTAAGCCACTTGTACTTCAAATTCCAGTTGGTGCTGAAGACAATTTCCAAGGAGTTATTGATCTTGTGAAGATGAAAGCAATTATTTGGTCTGGGGAAGAATTGGGTGCAAAATTTACATACGAGGACATTCCGGTTGATCTTAAAGAGTTGGCTCAAGAGTATAAGGCACAATTGATTGAGAACATAGTCGAGTTGGATGATGAAGCTATGGAGAACTATCTGGAGGGAGTCGAACCTGATGAGGCAACCGTTAAGAAATTGATTAGGTTGGGAACTATTTCTGGCAGTTTCGTTCCAGTACTATGTGGCTCGGCTTTTAAGAACAAGGGGGTTCAACCATTGCTCGATGCTGTTGTGGATTATTTGCCCTCTCCAGTTGAATTGCCAGCAATGAAAGGAACTGACCCTGATGATCCAGAGTTGATAATAGAAAGAACTGCCAGCGATGATGAACCTTTTGCCGGATTAGCTTTCAAGATCATGAGCGATCCATTTGTGGGTTCACTAACGTTTGTCCGAGTATATTCAGGGAAGCTTGTTGCAGGGTCTTATGTACAAAATTCAAACAAAGGGAAGAAAGAGAGAATTGGTCGACTTCTTGAAATGCATGCAAACAGCCGAGAGGACGTCAAAGTTGCCTTAACTGGCGATATTGTAGCTCTTGCAGGTTTGAAGGATACAATTACAGGAGAAACATTGTGTGATCCTGATAAGCCGGTTGTGCTTGAACGGATGGACTTCCCAGATCCTGTGATTAAGGTTGCCATTGAACCCAAAACTAAAGCTGATGTTGATAAGATGTCAGCTGGTTTAGTTAAACTGGCTCAAGAAGATCCATCTTTTCACTTTTCACGAGATGAAGAAATCAATCAGACAGTTATTGAAGGAATGGGAGAATTACACCTTGAGATAATTGTTGATAGGCTCAAAAGGGAATATAAGGTATGTAATTTCCATTCTGTGAGCTTTTCTAGTGGTTTTGTCTGTATTTTAACGACAAGTTTAGTATGTCAATTTATGCCTTCCCATTCCTCCCTCTTAAACTTGCATACAATATTCATTATAATATGGATATTTCACTTGATAACCCTACTTCCAATTACACATGAAATATGCACGAAGCGAAATATCTCTTCAGGAAACTTTTCCACTAGATTATGTAATCAAGAACTGTATTACTTGGGCTAATTGACACTCAATTTGTTTCTAGGCTAGTTTAGAACAAAAGTAATCCATTTTATTTCCCCAATAATATGCGAATCTGAAGTATTGGCAAGTTTCAAATCAAAAAGTACTACTTTTTCTTGGGCACTCCTATCCTTAATATGTTGTAGTTTACCAAGTTGATACTTCTCAGGTTATGATGAATTAAAATTTTATTTTCATCCATTTGTAATAACTTGTCATGCATATCACTAACAGGTGGAGGCCAATGTTGGTGCACCACAAGTCAACTATCGGGAGAGCATTTCGAAGGTTTATGAAGTGAAATACGTTCACAAGAAACAATCTGGTGGGTCTGGACAGTTTGCTGATGTAACCATAAGGTTCGAGCCCATGGAAGCAGGTGGTGGATATGAGTTCAAAAGTGAGATCAAGGGAGGAGCAGTTCCAAAAGAATATATACCCGGTGTGATGAAAGGATTGGAAGAATGCATGAGCAATGGAGTTCTGGCTGGCTATCCTGTTGTAGATGTTCGTGCGGTATTAGTCGATGGTTCTTACCATGATGTTGATTCTAGTGTATTGGCTTTTCAACTGGCCGCCAGAGGAGCTTTCCGGGAAGGGATGAGGAAAGCGGGGCCCCAAATGCTCGAACCGATTATGAAGGTTGAAGTTGTCACCCCTGAAGAACATTTGGGTGATGTAATTGGAGATCTTAACTCGAGGAGAGGCCAGATCAACAACTTTGGAGACAAACCTGGTGGCCTCAAGGTACGTGAAATACCAATATCAATATGCATAATATGCAGACTTTATTTTTTTATTTTACTTTTGCATTTCCTGAGATTGACAATTAGAGCTCATGTTTTATATAGGTTAGACACTAATGGTCGTTGAACTTCTCTTGAAATTTTCATCCTGTCACTAATTTCATTTTATTATGGAATTAAACTTTGTTATAGTTAGGTTACTAAGCTTGAAAGTTTGTTACAATTTGATCATTCCTTCTATGTTCGTTTATTTGACTGACAGAAAAGATGATTTGAAAGCCTAGTCGGCACATAACTAGAATTCCACATCATCCTTTAGGTTAGTCAAACTTACTGATACAGATACAAGTGACCAATTAGTAATAAAGTTTAAGTTCAGTAACCAACTTGAAACACTGAAGTGGACAATGAAATTTTATGGAAGTTTAGTGACCACCAGGGTATCTAAACCTATTTTCTATACTTCTTCTGTGACTTGAGCCTTGGGAAGATTTTGCACCTCTGAACAGCTCCCATCAATGCCCATTGCATCTGTTCTTTTTTCTTTTCCTTAGTGATAGATTGTTTTATTGATCATCAATGCAGGTGGTTGATGCTTTGGTGCCTCTGGCTGAGATGTTCCAGTA